GAATGGTGGTGGCCAGGGTCTGTAGGGTGGAGGAAATAAAGAGATTTGGTCAAAAGTACAAATTTTCAGGTTTCAGTAAGTTCTGAAAGTCAAATGTATACCAGAATGACTATATTTAATAATATTATATCCTTTACTTGAAATTTGCTAATAAGAGAGTAGATCCTAAGTGTTGTCACCACATACATAACAAAGGCAACAATGTAAAGTGAATATGCTACCATGTTAATTAATTTGATTGTGGTAATAAATTCACAATCATCACATCACACCCCTTAAATATATAAAGTCTTATTTTTCAGTTATACCTCAATAAAGCTGGGATTTTTTTTAAAAAATCTGTTTCAGTAAGACTTTTGCTCTCCCCATTTCTCGGCGGGTCTTTGTGATGTCATTGCCCTCCAGTTGTTAAATCTCATTACCAGCTCTGACACATTTAATCATTCCTGTTTGATACATTTATCTGCCAGTTACCTTATCCAATTCTATGGCTTCATGCCACACAATGACTTTTTATATCTCCAACGCAGACCCTGAAGTTCAGGCTCCTTTAGCTAACTGTCCACAAAACATTTCTATTTATATACATGAAAGCCTTTTCAAATTTCACATGTCCAAAACCAAGCTCTTAATCCTTCCATCCAAACCCGGAGAATCCCCACCTCGACTGACAGTTCCATGTTTGCAGGTGTCCTTGTCAAAATGTCAGTCATCCTTGACTTCTGTCTTTTGCACTCCACAGCTTTCCTACACACTTTATCGGGGTAACTTGTCTTCCCTTTACAGCAGTCCCTATTATCTGTGGAGGATGCATTCCCAAACCCTCAGTGGACCTGACCTCACTGTATCAAGTTTTCCACGCACTTTTTCCTGTACGTACAGACCCGTGATGGTTAATTCATAAATTAGACATGAGAAGAGATTAACAACCATGAGTAATGAGAAAACAAAACCATAATAACCACACTGCAATGACATTTAAAATTTGTGAATTGTTTGTTTCAGGAATTTTCCATTTGCTATTTTCTCACCAGCTGATTGCAGGTAACTGAATTCACAGAAACTGAAAACATGCATGAGGGAACACTACTGCAGAATATACTCTGAGGCCCCTCACTTATCCTCACCCACCCAATTCTGTCACGTTCTCCAAGCATCATGCCTTACATGGATTGCGGCACTAGCACCCTACCATTCTACAGCCTGCTGTCAGCAAAGGTCCTTTTAAGACCCTTTCAAAATCTAAGTCAGTTCCCCATGATGAATATGATCATTATGTATATCTAAAATGCATCGATAAAATTTTAAAATTTGTTTAATCGAAGTCAGCTCCTGCCACCCTTGTGCTCAAAATGCTCCAGTAGCTCCTGAAGTCAAACCCTTACAGCAACCTATGAGTTTTATGTGCTCCCACTGCTCATACCGTCTTCCACCGTCCCATTTGCTCACTCTGTTGTAGTCAGGTTGTCCTCCATCGCACACTGCCGTTCTCCACTCTCCACCATGGGGCTTCAGCCTGGCTGTTTTCTCTGCCTGAAATAGTCCTTCCCCTCTGTCAAGTTTTTGGTCAAATATCTCCTCCTCATGAGGACTTCCCTACTACAAAATCCTACTTTATGTATGGCCCTTCCCACAGACACATACATACACTTCCTGTCCCCTTCTCCGCTTCATTTTTATAGCACTTAATCACTTTCCTATTAATTATATGATTAATGTATTTCCTGTGTTTATTTTTCCCCTCTTAGAATATAAGACATGGGAGCAGGGACTTTGGTGCCTGATTTATTTACATGTCCCAAACGCTTAGAACGATGCTTGGTGAAAAGTGGTAGAATATGCCACCCTGAAACATGTCACCTTGACATGAGGATTATTTTGAGCTAAAGCTACTTGAAAAAGAGCAAACATAAAAAGAACTCTGTGCCTTTCCTCTATGGTGAAAGAAGAGACATTCTTATCACCAGAGATGGGAGAACCTCTCATGTGAATGACACTGTCTCTGTGCTAGGAGAGAAGAAACATCTTGTCACCAAAGATGGGGCGTTGAAACCAAGAAAAATACGTACAAAGAGAGCTTGTTAAATTACCCTTATCTTCTTTTAAGATCTGTATACATTTCAGTTACTTTTCTATTTTCCACTCTTTGTTCAGCCTACTCTACAAATAGGACAATGGTTCAATTTACAGTTTTTCAGTCTTGCAATGGTGTGAAAATGATTATGAGATCAGTAGAAACCATATTTCAACCTCTGAGCTTTGATCTTTCCCTGACAGTGACAGGCTGTATAATACTCTGGACAGCATCAGTGGGACATGGTTTCTGGTCAGCCAAGCAATCACAAGGGTAGACATGAGTGGACTGTGCTCCTAAGCTATGATGTAGGTTGGATATATTAAATGCGTTTTCACCTTAAACAATATTTTCCACTTATGATGGATTTATCAGGAAGTATATTATAAATCAAGGTGCATTGCTTAAGCATTTAGGTTTTGCCAATCGTCAGACTCATCATTTGTCCATGGGAGCTCTCATACACATGCAAAAATCTATCTGCTTTTCTCCTGTTATTCGATCTTGTCAATTTAATTCTCAGGCCCAGCAAAGACCATAAGAAGGTAGAGGTAACAGTTTTACCAATCTTATCCAGACACACAGTTGGTTCTCAGTGTTATGGTGTAGATCAAGAATGTTCTCACTGGCAGGGCTTCTGAAAGGTTGACTGGATATTGGGTGGGGGGGCTGATGCATCAGTGGAACTGGAAAGTTCAGCAAACGTGCGAGCGGTAGGAAGGTGAGGCCAGAGAGGAGGGTCAGTGGGGGAGGCTGTATCTCTATCCAGGCTCCTCCCTTCTCTCTCTGCTTCCTGACTGCCATAAGGACTTTTCTTCTGCCCAGCCTCTTCCACCATTTCCATGTTCAAATATGCTAAAGCGTGAGCTCAGATAAACCTCTCCTCCTTTAAGTTGCAGGTGTCAGCTATTTTATCCAGCAATGAGAAAAGTGACAAAGGCACTTACTCTATGAGACAAATATATAAACTTATAAATACAGGAAAAACTTGGATTTCTACATACATCTCTGACACAGAAAGATGAGTACTTTGCTAAATAAATGTAACTAATAACTTTACCCTGCATGTTCTTTTACTACTGTTTTCTTTAAAATCTATCTGTATTTAAAACTCTCATTCACATAAATTTATGAAAAATACCTCCACTGAGCTCGTTTCTTTATTTTTATAGAAACTCTGGCTAACACCAAGTTAACATGTCTCCATTTCTATTTTTTTGTTTTTGTTTTTGTTTTTTTGCAGAGATCGAACTTGGGACCTTGCACTTGAGAGGCAGGGAACAGAACCACTGAGCTAAATCCCCGGCCCCACTTCTGGTTTTTTTTTTTTTTTTTGCAATTCATATAGGATGTTTTCACACCATATATTTCAATTACATTTATCCATGTTTGATTTGTTACTTGTTTTAATTAGGGGTACGTGTTGAAAGAGTTTTTCTTTTCTAATGGTGACAACTGAGCTGTCATGGCCATCTTTCTATTGGAGGTGGAAAGCAGTACATTCTCGCCACTTAATGGACTGCTTGGCAGACTGGAGACCTACATGTCACACACTTCAGTGACTCTCTCCTCCTGCAGCTCCCATATGTCCAAGCTTTTCCACTTTCTGCACTCTTCTAAAATCTTGTCTGGTTCCACTCTCAATAATGCCACTTGCTAGCTTTCCGTGCAGTCAGTGCATAGCCTGCAACAGATTGGCTTCCCTGGTTTACCTCATTCCTAAATGTCAAGCTCCCACCTTGAAACCCTTGCCTGACCAGAAAGGACGGACTATGGAGGACTCGGGTGAGCCTTAATGCTGCTGAGTGGCCCACAAGGTTGTTGTCAGCAGCACTTGATCTCCCAGATCACAGGTTCCTCATCTCTCTTTTCTCCCCTACCCCAATGCCTAGCTTTCTCCTCTTCAGTAAGATGAAGTAAATTCTGATCTGGACTTCTTCCAACCCAAGCAGACAATAATCTACCACAAGCCCCTCTATTCTCCTGTTTTCTTGTCACACATCCTTTGTACTTCCTCCTTTCTATAGATAGTTGCTGCCTTCAGGATATTTTATTCCAAATAGAATTTATGAAGCTTGCAATCACGTTTCTTTTAAAACTTTAATAGATTGACTTTTTTTACTAAAGGCATAAATTCATTCACATTCCTATCCATTTTAGGCAAATTGTCATACTACAAAGGAAAGAGATCATTGAGGCATAGCCAAACAGCTGTACTTCTAGATCAACTTTGCCTTCATATGGACCCAATTGTGCACCAAAACAAAGCAAAAAGCAAACAGGAAGCAGAAAACAGTGAAGCCCATATTTGGTTTTAAGGCCAAAGTCTTAAGTATAAGTACATAGTTCTCATTCTTATACCAGAGATCTTGCTTTCTGGGATTTCAGTTACTCACATGGTCAACAATTGTCTAAAAATATTAAATGGAAAATTCCATAAATAAGTAATTCATGAGGTTTTAATTCCACATAATTCCGGGTAGCATTGTGAAATCTGGTGCCATAAATTCTCTGTCCCACCCAAATCGTGACTCATCCCAGTGCCCAGTGTATCCATATTGTATACGTTACCCAACCATTAGGCACCTCATGGGCATCTCAGTTATCATACTGACTCCAGTGTTTGCATTAAGTAACCACTACAGAGTGGTCTAACACTAGGTCACAATGTCTATGTCATTTGCCTCATCTTTTTTTGCTGTAACATCTCAGATCATCATAAAAGAAAGGTTCAGTGGAGTACCAAATTTGGGAAACACCATAACATAACTTTTACTACACTCCACAGTCTTAACTGTTCTCTTTTATTACTATTGCTGCTAATTTTTTACTGTGCCTGACTTATGAATTAAGCTTTAGCATTGGTATGTAATAAAAGCCTAGCATAGGGCTTGATACTATCAGCTGTTTCACTGAGGATTTGGGGACATATTCCTTGTGGGTAAGGAGGGACGATGGGAAAAGCTTTGCTATTTATTAGCTGTGGCTTTGGGCAACATCTCTGTAGCTCATTTTCTTTATAGAAGACTGCAACATCTCTCCGTCTGGGATATCATCTGAAACTAAAACCGACATGTGAAAATAAAGCAAAAGTACGTCTGAGGGCTTTAAAATGTTTTAAGAATACACATGATTATTGCTGAAGATCTGAGAAATAAGGCCACCTACTTAAAAGCACGGATTAAGAGAAAAGCCTCTCATGGAAAAATGTCTCCCATGATAAACAAAGAACAAATTATAAGGCTTAGCTGTAAGATCTAAGAATAATTTTACTAGAATATATTCATAAAGATAGACCATCCAAAGATTTTTTACATTTCAATTTTAATCACAAGATACTTTAAGTATAAAAGATATGGAAAATAATATCACAGTTACCTATTAACATACCACTAACATTAAACAGATGTTCACATTTTCCACAATGTGTTTTAAATGTGTCCTTTCTTCATCAGAGCAGACTGGTGAGGTTGGCCCAACTGTGCAGGGAGCTCACTGCTCCCCCACCTCCAGCACCCCAGGCCTTCATCAGAAAAGACCGGTGAGGACCAACCAGCTGCATGGGCACCTCAGCAACATCCCCTCCACCCATGCTCTGGAGCCTCCTGGTTGTGCCAGTACCTGGATCCACACTGCAGAGGCACAGATGGTCATAAAAGCTTTTTTACTGAGCTCCAGAAGACAGAATGGAAGTAAACAACTGCAATAAAGGCACATCAGACTTCTGCAGTTGTTAAGCTGGAGGAATAAACACCTTCCATCAGAGGAAGGGGAGCTGGAAACTGTAGTACAACCTTGCAGAGTTCAACCCTGCTGGTGGTCACGGAGCTCAACTTGGGCCTTGCAGCCAAGCTTCAGCCTGAATCTCAGGGGTCTGCCATTGGCTAGCTGAGACTAACTGACTTAGTTCTGCACATTGCTGCCCACATTATCTTTTGTGACAGCAGAGACATATCTGAAAGAGACTCTTCAAACTTTTTTCTTTCTTTTCCTATTATTTTTAATTATTAATTTTTATTTTTAAAATTTTATTTTTCCCATTCTGCAAATTCTTCCTTTTTTCTTTCTTCTTTTTCCCACTCAGTCTCTTGCTCCCCCACATTATTCTTCATCTCCCCTTTTGATCCTCTTTCTACCCTAATTTGGATTTCTTCTTTCTTTTTCTTTTCTTCTCTCTTTTTCTTTCACTTGATTGTCATTAGTTTCAAAGAAAAGTGAATAAAATTTATAGCTTCCCTGTTAGGTTAAGTTGTTCTATTCTTGTCTTTGTTCTTGCACTCAGTCTTTCCCACTTGTCTTAATAGTTTCCTAGAGTTTGAGTGATCATCCTGTGTCCTCTGGCTTCACTCCTATTCTTTTACCTATCTATTCCTCTCCTCCAAACTCCTTCTTAGCACCTATCCTGAAGGGTAAAGGTGCTATACTGATGAGTTTATTCACTATAAACATATTTTGGGCTGGTCCTCCATTTTTATTTAATTCATGTTAAAGGTGACAGATTAATAACTACCACAAATGGTCGATTTCTAAGCTGTTCTTGATGCCATTGTGCTGCTGACTGTATCAACTGGGCTAAAGGGTTGTGACTTATTTAATGAGTTGTCCTTTCTGATATTATGAAAATGAGAGTGTCTCTGAGTCATTAGAAACTCAAAACCTAAAGAAAGCTATATCAGGAAGATCAAAGCACTAACCCAGGAATTAAACCAAGGACAGCCCAACAACAAAAATAAAAATGAGAAAACACCTAAGCAAGGCACAAATACAGTTTGCCAACAGCAAACTCTAGGGGAAATGAAGTGGGAAAGTCTGACAATCAACCACCAGAACACCCTAACCTCATAGCACAGGAAGTAACAAAACAGATCAATCAGGCTCTAGAAAAATTCAAAACAGAAATAATTTCCCAGATAACTAGAGAGATGGCGAGTACCATGAGACTCTAGCACAGAAACAGAGAAGAAAAAATAGATGAACTCAGGACCATAATGGAAGCCATGAATGCCCAGCATGGGAAAGAAATGGAAACCATGAATGCCCAATATAGTAAATAAATGGAATCCATGAAACAGATTCAAACAGATATCCAGGAGATTAAAAACCTTTATTGAGCCAGGCGTGGTGGCGCACACCTGTAATCCCAGCACTCTGGAGGCTGAGGCAGGAGGATTGCTGTGAGTTCGAAACCAGCCTGGGCTACATAGTGAGTTCCAGGTCAGTCTCACCTACATAGTGAGGCCCTGTCTCAAAAAACAAAAACTGAAAAACAAACAAAAAAAAAACCTCTATTAAAAGCATTCACAGCAGAATAAACAAATGTGAAGATAGAATTTCAGATACAGAAGATAGGATTGTAGTCAGTGACCATGAAAAGAGAGATCTCTTAAAGACAGTTAGTGATCATAAGACATCAATCTAACAACTTCTAGATGATGCAAAGAAGAATAACATAAGTCTGATAGGAATAATACAAAAATTTATTTGGAACCAGAAGAGACCTAGAATAGCAAAAGCCATTCTAAGCAACAGATATTTGGCAGGCAGTATCACAATCCCCAACTTGAAACTATACTACAAAGCCACAGTGATAAAAACAGCATGATACTGGCAAATAAAAAGACCTGAGGATCAGTGAAATAGATTGGAAGATACAGAAACAACTCCAGATGTACTCAGCTACCACATCTTTGACAAAGGTGCCAACCATCCTCAGTGGAGAAAAGATAGCCTCTTCTTTAATAAATTGTGTTGTAAAAACTGGCTTTAAATTTGCCACAGATTGAAACTACACCCTTATCTTTCACCATGTACTAAACTAAAATCCAAGTAGATTAAAGATCTAAATATTAAAACAGAAACACTAAACTTTCTGGAAGATAAGTTAGGCAGAACTCTCAAAGACATGAGCATAGGAAAAGACTTTATGAACAAATCCTCAGTAGCACTGGAACTAGAACAAAGAATCAACAACTGGAACCTCATCTTATTAAAAAGCTTCTGCAATGCAAAAGAAACCACCAACAGAGCTAAGAGACAACCTACAATGTGGGAAAAATGTTTACCAGATACTCCTCAGACAAAGGACTATTATCTAGAATATATAAAGAATGCAAAAAAATCAGGCCTCCCAAATATAAAGACCCAATTCAAAAATGGGCATCTGAAATGAACCGACATGCCTCAAAGAAGCAAAATAATATATGAGAAGCAAATAAATATATGAGAAAATGTTCAACATCACTGGTTATTTGAGAGATGCAGATGAAAACAACACTGAGATTCCACCTTACCCCAGAAAGAATGGCTGTTATCAAGAAATTAACCAATAACAAATGTTGGTGGGGCTGTGGGGAGAAAGTAACCCTTCTCCATGGTTGGTGGGAGTACAGATTGGTGCAACCACTGTGGAAATCAATATGGAGATACCTTGGAGAACTAGAATTAGAGGTGCCATTTGACCCAGCTATCCCTCTGCTTGGCATCTTTCCAAAAGAATTAAAAGAATCATACCACAGTGATATATGCACACCCATTTTTACAGCAGCATAGTTTGTAATAGCTAAAATTTGGAAACAGCCCAATTGCCCATCATTTAGAGACTGGATTAAGAAGATGTAGCTTTTCTATAAAATGGAATACTACTCAGCCATAAAGAATGAGAAACTAGAGTCATTCGTAGGAAAATTGAGGCAATACTCAAGTGAAATAAATAAGATACATGCATAAATACTGAATAGTTTCTCTGGTGTGAAAAACTAAAAGTGCAAATAAGATCCAAACTGTATAACTGATAATGTGAAATAGGAAGAAATGGGCTAAAGGTGGATGGGGAGTGGGAAGGGTAGGGGAAAGGAAATAAGGGAAAAGAAAAAATATGAGAAAAGGAAAAAATGGAAACAAAGTCTTTGTTAATAGGGGTAGGTGGAGGGGGTGAAAGGAGGGCAGGAGTATGGGGGAAAAATAAGAATCAAGATATATCACGTAAAGGTACAAGATCCCAATGATGAATGTAACTGTACTGTATACTTTAAAAGTACCAATAAACTCAATGAAAAAAATAATAAATGTGTCCCTTCTTTTGAAGAAAGAAAATTTTACAGCTAAAATTAAAGCTTGTTTGCCATTGTTTGCCTTCTTTCCTCTTCTCCAAACTACTGATTTTCTGAAGTTGTACATCATTCCCCATGAAAGTTTTGGAATATTAACCTCCATAGAGAAAACATACTAATGTTTCATGTATTTAAAATTTTCATGTTATATACATATAAATAAATTGCAAATTATGAGAGTAAGCATGAAGTATAAATGTCTTAGTTACTTTTCTTATTTCTGAGACAACATACCTGACACCCAAATTAAAAGGAGGAAAGGTTTATTTAGCTCACAGATTGTAGAAGTTTCAGTCCCTAATCAGCTGGCTCCAAGGCAGGGTGGCATGGCAGAGAGGCATCACAAAGAAGAAACAGTTCATGGTGGGAGAGGGTAGCAAAGCAAGCAAGGGGCAACAAAAGCTCTCTCTATCCTTTATATCTAATCCAGTCTGCTTATGGTGGGTAGCACTCATATCTTTAATCCTAATGCCCTTGATCCTGGCACCATACTTCCCTAGATCAAGCCACCTCTGAAAAAGCCCCATCTATGAGTGCATGAAGCTTTGGGTGGGACATCTAGACATGGAATTTGTTGATTAATTTGGATACAATTCTATAGTTATGAATGTGAGTCTGTCCACAAATTATTGTATCAAATCATGCTATACCTTTCTTGTTATTCATGTCTTCTTTAATAAGTAATAAATTTTCTTTATAGAAGTCTCACAAATCAGCTGGGCATAGAGGTGTGAATCTATAGTTCAGCTATGTGGGAGGCTGAAGTAGGAAGACTGGAAGTTCAAAGCTAGGCAGGCAACATAGGGAATGCTGTTTCAAAAAGAAAAAAGAAAAGGTTTAGTTAATCTTTTGTATGATTTTTTAGATACCTTATAGTTGCTTGCCATTTTAAATGACACAATGATTTTACTACAGTCTAGTACATTTTATACAGAATACAGGATACCAAGTAAATAACAAAGTTTGGATATGGAAATAGCTGAGTTCAAATCCTAGCTTTGCCATTTACAGAGCGGATACCCTAAGGCCTGCTGTTTAATCTCACTGTAACTCAGGGAAATAGTTCCCTCATCTGTAAGATTAAGGATTCTAAGTATTATACACTTCATAGGATTCTTGTGGCAGTTACATTAAATTAAAGCTGGAGATAGAAAGTTTAAAATAATGCCTGGCACATGATCAATGACTGACAAATGTAAACTGTATCATTTAGGATGAACTAAAGCAGGATGCTCCATTAATAAGTAACCCTAAAAAAATCTCAGTCACCAAAACCAACAAAGTTTATTTCTTCTTCATGATCCACATCCACCACGTACTCCTCTATTTTGTCATCACTCTAGGGCCTAACCTACAGAAGTAACCAGTCATTACCTGGAAGATTGCCACATCCTCCAGAAAAGGGCTGCTCTATCAATTTATCATGCGGAAGACTGCCACATGGAAGACCGACATTCCTTTTTCTGAGGAACAAAGACAAAAATGTACAACCAATCTTGTACGGGCTCCTAAAGCTCCTAAGATGTGGAAGTGACAGGCATCATTTCTGCCTAGACTTCCTTGTTCATACAGGTGGGGGTTCCTTCCTATAATGCTGGGGGCCAGAAGAGTCCAATTGTGAATGTTTTTGGACCTTAGGATATTTGCATACACATAACAAGATATACTGGGAGCGGAACCCAAGTCTAAACACAGAATTCATTATGTTTCATATATATCTTCCAAATTGTATACAGTATTTTTAATAACTTTCTGTATGAAACAAGCTTCACAGTGTGGTATTTCCCAGTTGAACCATCATGCTAGTGCTCAAAAATTTCAGAATTTGGAGCATTTCATATGTAGCATTTACAAATAAGGGATGTTGAACCTGTAGTAAGTCGCCTAATCAAGCCCGATTTCACAGAGCCAACCAAGTAAAATCTTACCACACAGTAAGAATGAATCAAAAACACTTAGTGCAAGCTGGGTGTGGTGGTGTATGCCTGTAATCCTAGCACTCGGTAGGCTAAGGCAGGAGGATTGCTGTGAGTTCAAGACCAGCCTGCACTACATAGTGAGTTCCAGGTCAGTCTCAACTACATAGTGAGACCCTGTCTCAAACAAACAAACAAACAAAAAACACTTAGTGCATAGTATTAATGACTATCATAGTCCTTATTAGTTGTTTGGAAAGATATATAAAAGCTGAATTTCAAAAATGTTTAATATTAGAACCAATAAATTTGCCCACTATCCTATCAGCTCTAACGATTTGTCTTGGATTTTCTTGGTAAATATGTCACCACTGTCTACAAATGATGACAGTTTTATATTCCCTCCCAATATTTATACTATTATATCATTTAGTTGCATGCTAAGATGTGTCACTATGCTGACTAGAACACTATAATGTAGAAGAAATTATGACTGGCTATTAGAAGATATGTGTAGTCAGTCCTTTCAATTTCTGTGAATTTGCTGTTGAGTGCAAAGTATTTCATTTCTACCCTTGTTTGCATTCCCTCAATTACTAGTGAAATTGAACTTCTTGGCCATGTAACTTCTTTTGTGAATTGATAATCCACGCCTTTTATCCCTTACTTAGTTTTCTATTGTATAATTTCCCTTTTTCTTACTGATTTTAAGAATGACTATATATTCAGATACTATTCCACTGTTGGTTAAATATACTGAAATACTTTTTTTTCTCATTAAGTTTATTGGTACTTTTTAGGTGTACAGTACAGTTAAACTCAGCATTAGGATCTTGTACCTTTGCATGATGTATCTTGGTTCTTATTTTTTCCCCACTCCCCTGCCCTCCCTTCATCCCCTCCACCCTTCCCTATACTGAGGACATACTCTTAAGTGAAATAAATTGGACACACGTGTAAACACCAAATAGTTTCTCTGGTATGAAAAACTAAAAGTGTAAATAAGGCACAAATTATATAATTGATAATGTGATGTAGGAAGAAAAGGGCTAAAGGGGAAGTGGAAAGGGTAGGGAAAAGGAAATAAGGGAAAAGAAAAAATATGAGAACTGAAATACATTCTTACACCTTATCGATTATATGTAGATTTTTTTTTCAATTGTGTCTTTTGTTATATAAAAGTTTTAAATTTTAACACAGCAAAAAATCCTTCCTCTATGTTCTGGGCATTTGCCTTTTTAAAAGAATGTCTCACTATCAAAAAGTCAAATAAATATTTATCCATATTCTAAATGATTTTACTTTGTTTTTTATGTTTAGTTCTACAGTCTACCCACAATTGATGATGAGCCCTGTGTAGTGAGATCATTAGGAATGAGGGAGGGAACAGAAACAAGAGAAAAAAGAAACTTACTTTATGCCAGATATTTGACCACGAAGACAATTTTAGCCATATCTCAGAAGCCCTAATGTTGTGCAGAACATAGCGCGAGAAGTTATCGAACTTCAGTGGATTCTGAATTCTACGAAAAATGAAGAAAAACAATAATTCAGTGCCCCAGAGTGGAAAGCATGATGCTATGTATTTTCCTGTAATTTGTGTCATCTTCATAAAAAATACTATTATTAATCCCGTTGAACAGGTTCCTAAGTAGTATAACTACAGAACCATGAAAACAGACTTCAAAGCCACATTTCTGACTTCAAAGTCCATTTCTTCCCATTTTCTTCCCACCACCAAATCACTTAGTATTTTGTAAGACTGAAGAATAAATGGATACATTGGGATTTTAAAACCAAGTTGGACACTGGAAAAGAGAGGTAATTCTGGCAGAAGGTCGTGACTACTTGCTTTTAACTACACAGGCAAGCCATATCTTTTCAAGTATAACCCAGCTTTTATGATTATTTTGAAGTTAAAAACATGTGCTAGGATTCAAGTCACATAGTCCCGGTTTAAACCTGCTTACACCAAGCAAGCTATTTCCCTGGCCTCAGTAAACGGGAGATAATAACAGCTACATGTGTTACATAGAAAAGCCATCCAGTGCTCTGACACACAATTAGTACTGAAATAGTACTTCCTTTAAACCTCGTTTGCATCCTTATATACCCAGAACCTTCCATAGTCGCCCTGTAACCTAAATGTTAGAAGTCACTGCCCTCTGAGCCTTCCTTTTCTCTTGCTCATTTTGTTTTGTTTTGTTTTGTTTTGTTCTCCCTTTGTTTCTCCTCCCTGCCTCTGCCCCAGGCAACACTTGGTTGGTAACACCAGACTTACTATATAAACAGATATCCTGTTATTAATGATGATGAGGCTCACTCAGCCCAGTGAAGCTAAATTACTTTCATAAGGCCAAGTCAGTGCCAGAAGGACTCGCCCACACATTGAGGTACTCTTTTCCACCCCCAGGCTCTGTTCTACAAGGGACTCAGCTGCCTCCGGGTTTTTAGAGGCTAGAGAGCTTCTGAAGAGTGACCAGGAGAGGGATCTGTAATATCTTGTTCCTTGTGCTGCCCTGGCAATGCACAAATGAACAAGTTGGCATCAGGAAGGAATGGGTCTGGTCATGTCAGGACAACGGAAAACATGATATTGATTTTGGTCTTGGGCTCTACTATTCAAATCTGTTTCTTTTCCACCAGTTTTTCTCTTATTGTCTCTCTTTTCCTCTGTTTTCCTTTTTTAAATGCCTCTCCCTTCCAGATGGTATTTTCCTTCTCTTTCTTCTCCCCTGTGACATCAGCCAACTACACCTTATTCCCATTCTTCTCCTCCTCCCCTTCATTCAGAAATAATTACAATGCTATCAACAACAATAATAAGCAGGGGCTGAATCCGTGGCTGAATCACTGGGCTAGAGTGAGGCAGGGGGGAGAATGTGGGTGGGACTCAGTAAGGCATTCACTTGAATCATCCACTGCCAGTCCTGACAAAGACAGGTCTCTTACAGTGAACTGCGGCTACCTTTCACCGGGCCAATCACAGTACAGTTTCCAGTGGAAAATTCTGTCTGTGGAGGAAAAAAAAATGAGGCTAACTTGATGTTTTAACTAAGAATGTGACATCGATTCTTGATTTTCTGTCTGTCCAGCTTTTGGTCCATGAAGGGATAAGTTTGTGCTTTTCAGAGCGATGTGGGGATACACACATAGGCTGAAAATTATACTGGAATGCCCCGTGAAACCTGCATTTACCCAGACAAATTATCCAGTAGAGATACCCGATGTGGTTAACTCAGGAGTGTAAGTTCTTACCTTTTCATATATAGCAATTTAAGAACTGACTCAGAGGTATAATTACCTCAAACTCTACTTAATTCTGCGTATGATTTTTGCCTTACTCTCCTAATTTATATTTACTCAGTATTTCTACTGAACACTTTTAGTGTTCTTAACATATTTGTGTGAATTTTGTTGTAAGTCACTTCAAATCCTTTGTGAAATAATATGAGGTTAGAAAGAAATAGGCAAACAATAATCTATCTTATTCATATACACTATACAATACAGACTCTTAGCCCATAGATCTCTTCATTTTGCTACCTCATTTATAATTAGACCTCATGAGAGCATTTTATTTAAAAATATCATCAAAAACATCCTTTTATCAGAGTTATACAAGCATTCTTAATCTAAATTTATTGGCCCTAACTCTAACTCTAAGTAGTCTGACTTTAAAATGCTTGTTTTAAAGAACCCAAACAAAAAAATGGGCAGATGAATTGAGTAGATGCTTTCAAAAGAAGTACAAGCAGCCAAGGAGAATGTTAAAACACGTTCAACATTTTTAGCCATTAGGGAAATGAAAATCAAAACTACACTGAGATTCTCTCATAATGGCCATCATCAAGAATACAAAACTCAATGAATGTTGGTGAGGGGAAAAAGGAACCACCCTACATTGGTGGTGGGAACATAAACTAGTATATTCAACTATGGAAATCGGTATGGTGATTCCTTGAAAAACAAAAAATAGAAATACCATCATACCACTTCTGGGTATCCTCAGAGAGAATCAAAGACAGCACCTAGTGATACATGCGTAGTCAACGCTTGTAGTAATGCAATTCACAACAGTCAAGCTGTGGAAACATCCTAGAGGCCTTCAACGGATGAATGGAAAAAGAAAATGTGGCATAGATACCCAGTGGGATACTATTCAGCCATAAAGAAAGATGAAATCACGTCATTTGCAGGAAAATGGAAGGAACTGGATGATCATCAGGTTAAGCAAAATAAGTGAGAGTCAGAAAGTTAAATATACATATTTTCTCTTATATAAGAAGCTCAACTATAACTAAATAAGTGAATAAAAGACAGGAAAGATAACAGGAAACTGGAAAGGAGATTCTTGGAAATGGGGAAAGTATTGGAGGAGCGGGAGAAGGGAGAGGGGATAAAAGGTTTGAAATATGATTAAGATGTGTTATATGAATGTACCAGTTTCCCAAATTGAACATCACTATTCTGTATTACTCCTGCACTAACAACAAATACTTGTTTTAATGTGAATTATTTAGGCATAGTATTTCAAGCCAAGATAAACTGAAAGGCACGAATAAAATAGGTAAATATTGTCACGCTGACCTCTACTAGTTCAAAGCCCAAACAATAATCAAATTCACGGCAAGGACAATCTATTGGGAGTGTCAAGCTCTGGTCTGGAAAAATCACTTGTATTCATGAACTATAGCAGAGAACTTCTTCTAAGTCTCTGTTCCACATTCCTGAGGCTTAGCCCTTGTCACCACTGACTCCCCAGCCTGTAGCAACATCTCTACTGACCATGGCCATTGGTCAGTCTGAGGACAGTCCTAGCATTGGACACAGTTAAGCAATCTTCCTAACACTTTGGGTATCAGACTGCTCATGAATAAAAGGAAAATAATACTTCTCATAAATCACAACAATCCCCACCATATAGAAAACATTCAATAAATCATAATAGATGGATGGGACAATTACATCTCTATGTAATTGGATAACATAGTTGCTGAATTATATGTGTGGATCTCTGAAATTCTCAAATATGGATGGGAAAAGGCTCGCATTAGAGACCTCCATTATCCCAGCTGACATCATCAACTAATTGACGTCATCTTCCAGGTGCAGACGTGATGCCAAAGAGAAACTAATCAGCTTAACCAGTCATAACAAATGACCCAACATTAACAGTATTTTATTGTATTTGTTGGTTTGTACACGGGAGCCCTTATACACATACACACACATGCATACACACAGATGTAGACACATACGCACACATAAAGAATCAAAAGGATAGATTTTTGTCATCAATCCTAGACTGAGTTTCCCCATACTTTTACTTATTACCTAAGTATCTTTGACCAAATTAAACCTGCTAAGCCCAAATTTTCCCTTATAAAATGATAACCCTAGGTGGGGAGGGCAGGAGGGGATGAAGGGAGGAAAATTGAGAACCAAGACCTGGCAGGTAAAGGTACAAGATCCCAGTAATGAATGTAACTGTACTGTCTACCTAGAATGTACCAATAAATTCATTTTAAAATTTTTTAAAAAATGATAACCCTACCTAGTTTTAGGACTGGTAATATTTAAAAATGGGACAAAATATGTAAATAACCAGTGACTGACATATACGAAGCATTCATTAAGTAAGAGCTGCTTCTTTTATTATTACTGTACCACCTGAAATTCTTAGAAAATTTTCATTAAGGAGATTTAAAACTAGTTACAAAGTAATTTTATTTTAGCAATAAAAATAAGGAAGCTTAGGAGCTTTAAACTTTAACGAAATTTCTGAGGTTGCAGCTGGCATGTAACATGCCCCAAAACCTACAATGTTGATAAATGCACATTAATTTTTACTGTGGATAAAAGCCCAAAGTACTAATAGCTAAGAGGCTGCCATGATTTTTCTAGAGGACTAGTTTACAGTAACTGGGTGTTCAGGCGGCATTAGCAGTAGTAATGGCAACAATTATTAAACCCTTTACTGTCCTATAATTATGAGTGAAGCTTCCACTGAAATGCCACATCAAAAAATTTCTTCTTTTTTATTATGAATTGTTTCTTTGTTCACCATCAAGTACAGTCTACAGATAGTGATACCATAATGGTCCTTTTTTAATGCATCTTTTTCTTTGGACAGTTTCTTCCAATACATTTAGTGGAAAGGTGATAGGCCTGTATAATATTTCTTCGTGCCTTGGAGGGAAGGGAAGGGGCTTATAGGGAAAGATTGAAAGACTTCATTATATTCAATCCAAAGGAAAGGGGGAAATTAAATTTTATTAGCAGCCTAAAATCTTATAAAAGATTCATTTGCTTTGTTGTGATGAAAAAAGAGAACTTGATCCTCCAAGAGAATCTAAAATGTAATTGAAGGACAGCTCAAGAATCACCACTGAATCTCATCCACAGAGAGAAATATCTGCATGTAAGAAAGGCAGGCTGTAGAGAAGTATAAGGTATAATATAATCGAGTTATCCTGGACATTGTCCAGGCTCAATCCTACATTATTATGGTAGTGATTGC